GGTTGGACGCCAGTCGTTGCCATGTGCAATGATGATGCCCAAGGACTGCTTGACGGTTTGATAATGCCCAGTTCCAGCATGTGGTCGAATTCGCTTTTCGCCGTTTTGAGCTTATCGGGGGCTAGATAGCATGCTTTGGATGCCACAGGTGGACCTGTGGCTGTGATGTGATGCATAACATTGTCGGTTATGCACGGGAGAGTGTGCTTTGGTTGTTGCAACTCTGGATACTTCTCCAACACCGCCTGATGAGACGCATCGCCTGATTGTTTTGTTCTAACGAGGGCTAAACTCGGAGGTGTATCTAGTTAATTTAATTTGTTTATTTTAGCCTTGGTTGTATTTTGGTGCCAGGAAGGTGCAGTACAAGTGCATAAGGATCACTTGATTTAGGCCGACACATATGTGCTGTAACATGTCTGTTCAGTTCCCGCGGCAGTGAACGTATGACGGCAAGAAATCGAGAATGAGGATCTGAGACACCCTGTTTCTGGCAATCTGCCTAGGCATACAGAAACCATGTTTCTGCATTGTCTAGCCAACATGGCACTAGTTGGATCGTGTTCGTAGTCGGTTTAATACGAATAAGCTTGGGAGTGTGGTCGGACATGAGAAAGTGTAGTAAATGGATAGATAAATGTTACCGAGATGAAAACAGTATACAAATATAAAATGGAACAGACTCGTCAATTCAATATTTGCTATTGGTCGGGATATGTGGTCATGTCGGGATCACCAATTTAGGAATCGTCCTGATACGAACTTGACAGACACAGAGGCTAATCACTAATTACTCGAACTTGTCATATACCCACGAATACGAGACCAAGGAAGAACACGATAGCGTAGTCGGATGAAATAGTATATTTGGGTGGTTGTGTCAAAATACCGGTACGTTCCAACTAACTGGCTGGAGGGTCAAACACGAGCAGTGCAACGTAACACGACAGCGTGCCAAATGGCGAGGATGCTTGACCGGGTGCCCTCAGCTTAGCGAGTCCAGTTAAACTATCAAGGTCAGCATCAATGTCGAAAGTCGTCAAACCCTAGGCTATTGATTTTGGGGAAGTGTGTGGCGCTACAATTATAAAAAATTTATGAAATATACATAGTATTTTCGTGTCGTGTCGTCAGGAATGTCATAACTCTTGGCTGAATTATGTTCTCCGCTAATTCATTTTGATGCATAAGCTCTCCCGTATCTGAAACCAACCTTAGAATTTCATGCACGCCCTATGATGAAGTAATTAGTCGTTTGGAGTGAAAAACAGTAATTCATCTGTGGTTTTCGCATTGACGAGTCCTAAGTTCAAAATCTTGAAATCTGAATCCGAACAGGAACGGTCACATCGATCATCTCTGTTTGAACCACCGGCTACAACTTTTTCAGACGACGCTAACTAGGAGCTTTAACACAGCTGCATATGTTCGAGTGGAGAGCCTTGACTAGCATTATATCCTTGCTCAGTACTCCCTTTGCCGTTAGACAATACCACAATACTTTTTTAACGGAGTCAAAAGTTTCTTTTATATCGGGAAACACGGTATAGTGCCATCAAATATTGCTGTGTTCTGGAGCCTATCAAAGAGTCTTGTGATAAGTGTACACATGTCCTAGTTTAGAACCCACCGTTTTTCTAGAGTTTTTCGTTCTTGAGCTACACCAAGGCATCATATTAATAAGGACCTCATGATCTTAGGTACGATGTTGGCCAAGATTATTCTTCTTTGAGTGAGAAAAGAGGATATACTTCAACAAAGAGACTCGTTCCCGTCATTAGAAAAAGACTTTTATCCTCTCGTTTAAACTGGAAAGACTGATAAAATGGCCTGATTTGACAGAACAACCTGTGAGCCGAAACACTAGCTATTAAGTAACTTTGTGCTCCATTCCTTGAAAACTTGTGGCATTGAACCGTCACATCCTACTTTCCGCATTTTTTCAGGCCTTTCTAACCTTGAGGAGACCCAAAGGACCAATATCTACGTTCGATTCAGGTTTAGGCTGAATGCCGGTCAACTGAAACTTCACTGTAGGCCAGTTCAACTGTTCTTCGAAGTGTTTCACCCAATCCTGTGGCAGTTTGTTGTGACAATTAGATGAAGCTCATCCCTTATGGCAATGGTCTTACGAATCATTGTCTTTTCGTCATTTTACCGAATAGTGATACCTTTTTCATGTCTTTCGATTTCACCACCCGCTACTACTTGAGGTTATGGAGAAAATGTTTAGTCAGTTCGCGTTTAAACTGCTTGGCTTTTAATTGTCGACAAAAACTACTGCAATGAGTCTTCTAGGATCAATCTTTTCCTTTAAGGTTGCTTGAATTTTTTGATTTTGTCAGTCTTTAGTCTTAAGGCTACCAATCATCTTTTCAATGTTTCTACAGCAGACACAACATTATGAGGACTTCACTGGTATAAGAATAGTTTAGGGGGTCAGATAAATGCCTAGCTGCATCCTCTCTCAGTATATACTTCACGCTTATATCTTTCAGTAGGAGATACGAAAGATTATCTACTTCTTGCTTACAGTGCCTATTAAGATGAAAACAAACGTCCTCATATCAATGCAATGTTTCGAGTTCAGGCAAGTGATAAAACGAGAGTGATATTCCTTCACTAACCCTCTCCAATAATGAACTATACCAATGATGATCTACCTGTGTTTAACCTTGACTTGATATTGAAGAAATTCAAGTTAGGTAACCTATCAGTGTCCAGCATGTCGTTTGATATATTTCAATAGCAAAATCGACACCAACTGCATCTTTCACATCTACACATCAATATATACATGTATGTGGGAAGAGAGATGAATGAAAAACTTCATGACTTAATCAACCAACACAGGGAACAAGTAACAAAGCAAATCAATGTATAAAATTGATTGGTAAACACCATTATGAAGTTACGACTTAATAGTAGTGCAGGAATATGATTGCAGCTCAAAGTGGTAGGAAGTTTTGGTAAAAGGAGCTTCTGATTTCCATTTCATTCATGAGTTTCCTTATTGCTACAGCTTTACTTACTATTTTATTCATTCATCTTAATGTCTTTCATATTATTGAATTTACTTGGTTGCAGCTAGCAGAGGAATGCGGGATGTATGTTTGATCCTATTTGCGACTCCAGGCATACGCATAGGAGACCACATGCGACACAGGTCGAACTGTTCGATCCAGCATAACAACAGAGAACTACAAGTATTATTATCATTTGTCCATAGAGTTTCCGCTGGAACAATGCTTCAGTAGCACGTCTCCATTGCACTCTGTTCTCCGCAACCCTTTTAACCTGGCTACACCACTGCTCACAAGCTTTCATTTCTTCCTACTCCAAGTCATCCTCAGAAGCCCAACTCGTCGTTTCCCATGCGGGTTCCACTCGCGGGCCTGACCTGGGGCGTGATATCCCCAAATGTTCTTCTAAGTTTGTGTCCAATCCATCTCCACTTTCCCCTGTATACTTGTTGGGTGGTGGGTTCTTGGTTGGTTCGTTGCCAGCCAGCCAGCCAGCCAGCCAGCCAGCCAGCCAGCCAGCCAGCCAGCCAGCCAGCCAGCCAGCCAGCCAGCCAGCCAGCCAGCCAGCCAGCCAGCCAGCCAGCCAGCCAGCCAGCCAGCCAGCCAGCCAGCCAGCCAGCCAGCCAGCCAGCCAGCCAGCCAGCCAGCCAGCCAGCCAGCCAGCCAGCCAGCCCCAGCCAGCCAGCCAGTCAGCCAGCCAGCCAGCCAGCCAGCCAGCCAGCCAGCCAGCCAGCAAGCCAGCCAGCCAGCAGCAAGCCAGCCAGCAGCTAGCCAGCCAGAGTTTCCTTCTGGCTTATTCTTATTATTCTGACTATCTGATCTTCAGTGTCAGTATCGAGTGAGCATAGGCAACAGCTGTTCATGTGATTCATGAATATCTATAGTTTGTTGGAAATGCTTCTCGTGACGCACCAAGTCTCTCAACCATCACATAGAGTACTGACTTAACACAATTGGTGTTGTTAATCCGGATCTTGTTCACGCTTTATGCTGAGTTCAGTTCAGTTCGGTGCAGTGCAGTGCAATGCAGTGCAGTTCAGTTTCAGTGCAGTAGGTCTCCACACTGATTCAGGTTATGAAGGAAGGCCAGTCTTGCTGTCTTTACTATCCTGGCTAACTTTGACGTCCTCATCTGCGCCTGTGCCGCCACCTGTAGTTGAAACGATGCTGCCTAGGTGGTAGTGAACGAGAAACTTCCTTTAGATCTCTCTCGTTCATGGTGATTGGTGATTGTTGTTGTTGGTTGGGTATCTTCCTCCTATGCAAGCGTGAGTTCGTCATTCAGCCTCAGGACAACAATAGTGCACAATATAAAACATGGAAGCTGGAGATGCAGAAGAAAATGCTAACCAACTTCTAAGTAAATTATTGCATACGAGTAAGACTACGAAAACAGATAGGAATTTCAAATTACCTCAATCAGAAACGGTTGTCGAAAGTCAATAAAAAAAGAAGGTAACTACTACCATAGTTTGGAAAATCACGAAAATTATTTCAGGATACATTGATCCCTAAACTTACTTTAAGTTGGAACCTGCAAAAACATCATTGGTGCAATTTTCTTCAGAATTCTCGTGGATTTGAGATCTAGTCTCCATAGAAAATGGATCCGATTCAACAAACTGTGGAACAATGCTATGATTAGCGCTCAAATCTAGATCAGTATAATGCACTGAACCGCCTTCTTCAAGCTCAGTATCTCTATCTGAGCTTTGTGGACTGTACTGTTCTTGTTGTGATAAGTTCAGAGATTCCTCTTCTTCCGATGATGAAGAAACCTTTTCGTACGGTTATTTTTTTTCCTACGCTTGAGCGAGACGTCCAAATCAACACCAGACATTTCTTTGAGTTTTTTTCTGCGATAAGTTTTTTTAAGTTCACTTTTATCAGCAACCAGACCAAGTTCGAGAATCTTGGCAACCACCATACGTCTTGGACGAATTGGTGGAATATGATCTTTAAACTCTTGACTTTCTGTTAGACCTCTTGTTCCAAACGCTGAAGAGCTACATCGTGGTCTACCTTTATTTCATTCATGATCTCCGTAAGTATATCTTTTCAAAAAATAAGAAAATAGTGAATACATATGAGAAATTCATTTGTTCGGTTGTGTGCCGCAACATTAGTAACTTATGTTAGTGAAAAACCCTAACAAGAATTTTAAATATGAAAGCACGAAAATTAAAGGATTGATAATAATGGATTTAAAAACAGTCATTGGTCAAAAGGACTTGCCTTTTGAATCTTTGTGCAACTCGACTATAGCTTTTAATCGAGCTATTTCTTCTTCAGTCCACTCAGATTGATGTACGTCGTTGGCTCGACGTTGAGAACGTTTTTTGAAAGGATTTGCAGGTCGAACTCTGAAAACAAAAAATAAAAACAACATGTACATATGTTAATTTCCACTTCGTACAATTCTATCTACGGAAATACTTACTGTCAAGTGTAAGTTTTACAATAATCACAAGTATTTAGATCTGATCTTATACCGATGCTAAGGCATATGAACAGACACAGAATTGTGTACTACCGGAAGCATGAGGGCGGTCGACACTTCTCGGTTGCTGACACCGTGGAAAGCTATTCCTTATTAAGGTAACTGAAAGGAAAAAAGATTTATGTGACCACACGGTCTACGGGACATCTGCTTGAGGCCTGTCACACACGACCTTTTCTTGGATGTTGTTTTGAGGTTTGGTTGTTCTAACAGCGAATAGACAGAACCCATACCTCAGTTAGTGGAAGGGGTGCGCTATTTTACTGGGCGATCTGTTGTGAACCCATTCACTCCTATTGAGAGGGCAGAGTCAGCGTGGCACTGCCGGTCATCTAAGTTAAACACCTTAATGCTGTCGCACCCCGTCTAGCTAGCGGCAGTACAACTTCACCTTCAGACCTCCATCATAGTGTAGCAATTTACACTACAACGGTAACTGCTTTTCGTTTTTCCACTCACTATCCAACAGACCTTTCTAGGTATGGTAGAAGCTGAAGAGAACAAGCATTCCAGCAGTATAGCTCGTTGGGTCATTGTGATATGTAATCCCAACTTCCTCATCAAGGTAGCAGCTATCGACCGACACTCAACTGTATTTTATCGATATAAACTCATCGAAGTAATTTCTCAATCAAATTTGTATCCTCAAAGTTTTTTAATGATGAGTGACAGAATTGTAAGCGAAATAGAAACTTCCTCTACACAAGTTTGTGGCAAAACAGTATATCACCAATAGGCATTTTATGCGAGTGAACTTCAGAGATTAAGTGACTAAGTAATATAGTCAGTTGACACACTGTGATAGTCGGTTTTTATGAAGCTTCGATTAAAGCAAAGCAGTTAAGTTATGAGTATATGGTTCTAACGGTTACGGAGGAATTTACTTGAACCCACTCCTAGTACATATACACACACGTTCATCTATCAACTAACCGACAGAAAGATATCAACAGCAAAGGTCTTGATGTTACTGTTTAACGGTCCACATTTCTACACCTACCATCAGTAGATAAAAGTTAAATGGTTTTAATGATCAACGTAGTTGCATGCCTTGTAAAAAGTGCCTCAACGAACAACGAAGTACGACAAGAATCACGATAAATATGACGCAGGAATGCATCTGCAGCACGGCAATAATATAGGCAGTTCACTAACGTTGTCCAGCTAATCGTTTCAGTTATTTCGTGGACATTTCCCTGCACCACCCAGAGGTTCCATGAAATGATACCATGCTTTAGTCTGTTCATTCACTTATTTTCAAGGCTAACCTCAATTCAGGTGACACAGCTTGTTAGGGTAGACAGTGGCTGGAATGGCGTAACAATATACCCGGCCATCTAAGTAGATGAAAGTCTAGTCATAGTCTCACCAATCGACTCATCGCTTTCACTTGAAATCCTGTACCGAATGAAGGAACGAAACGAACTCAACAACCTTGCGCATATTCGTACAGTAATGACCCATACCTGTCGTGCGACAGCTAATGATATCTGGCTAACCTAACCTCAGAGACGTACTCGAACCCGTGACCGAATGGTTGGAAGGATACTGTCACAGCTCCAGGATGTACCGGATACCTACATTGTTAGTATGGTGTTTTCATCATATTCAGGAGACAGTATGGAGACAACGCTGGTCAAATACCTGATATCTTCTTATATTCTTATTTCGTTTACCCAAAATAAAACGGCAATTGACCTAGTTGTTCAGTCAATTTTAAATTTCTTCTTCAGTTTTAGTCATTGTGCAAACAAATAACATATATATGTTGAAATGTGAACGCAACAAAATATTGTTTAAACTACATTAAACTAATCTGCTGTAAAACGTAAAAAAAGGAGAGAGTTAACTGACGTGATTTCTTTCAGTTGTTTAGCAGATACTATCAAGCCTAATGTTATCAATCTGGCAATAATTTGTCTGCGAGTTTTACTGGGGTCTGAGAAATACTTGACAATCAAGTCAGCTAGATCGTTACCTAAAATAATAAAAGTAAAACAAAAGCAATTTACATCTTTTTGATACAGAAATATAGTGTAATGTGAAGTGTGCTCAAATCAACAACAAAATATCAAATTTTAGGCGGGTCGCATACATCTTTTGATAAACGATAAGTAATATGTGTAATTTTTTGAAGACAAAACAACCCACTAGGTGTAGAAACCATAGATAGTAGCACAATATGGCTAAGATAATCAATACAAATTACATTTCACAGGTGCTTACATCAACTTCCGAGAGAAACGCATAGTTGGACTAGACTGAAGGAACTTAATTCACTAACTACGTACTTTTTAGTGTACTAAACTAAATGAGAGCTAGTACTGAAGCAGATGACATGCAATACTGGTTTTTAACTCATTGTTTGAGAGTGAAATGTGATAAGCTAGAGCAAACTTCCTGCTTTTAAGTTGGGTTATATAACCAGACGGAAGAGTGTACACATAGTTCAGATAGTAAATAATCTACCAGTTTAATATCACAACATATCTACGAATATCAAACCTCGTTATACACTAGGATGTAAGATTAATAACTACGCTGTATGTGCAAGTAGTCGCAGACTAGTCCTGGAGTAACATCTTATATTTGACAAGCTACACATTTCAAACATACACAGATTTCCGTTCAACGCGTTCAGAAGACCCTGCATTTTTTTCAGCGTCTTCACCTAGCAGGACAATACCGTCTGCGTACTCCAAGTCAATCAGAGGCCCTTCAGAGAGAAAATCAGTCTCCCTGACTTCACAGGGACCCGGTTGATTTATAGTACCCAGACAATATTGTCCGGCTAGATGAAGACACTGACAAAACCCAGAGTTCTCCGCCTTGAGTAAAAATCTGAGTATGTGCTATATGCGTTTCGAGCCTGTGAAGAGTAAGATATCGGTTCGAAATTGATCTGCAGCTACTCTCGGTTTAGGGATAAGGAATGAAGTGGCGGAATCCGTCGACGACTTAACATACTGGAAGGTTGCATCAACCCGAATAGGTTGGTTGCTGACAAAAATCTCAGCTCGGATACTGAAAGCCTGCTTAGCATTTGCCAACTCGTGCCATCACTGGTGAAATATCCGACCACCTATCAAAAGATGAGCATTCAGTGCGACAGTCCGTCCTGTCCTGTTATACAGCTGTGAAAAGTAGATAGATGTTGCTGATTTCATCTGTCAGTCTGGCCGATATCCACATATACAAGGGTATGAAAGCATACAACAAACACGCTTAAAACATACAGCATAATTTTGTAAGACTTGATATTACTGTGAACAAAAAGAAAAACTTTACGAAAAAACAGTGATACTATGAAAAACAAATACCGTCTACGGGCATAAGAACATTCATGAGGTTATGGTAAAAATATAAATCCAAATCTTTACGTCCAATATATCTTACACCACTCAAGAATAAGGAAGAGGTGAGTCAAAAAAAGTCTACCTGATTAATGACCTCCAGCGTTAGAAATGGCTACTTAACGAAAAAAACATGCGGTAAACCTTTCCCGAACCAGCTTGTAAACCAGGGGATAAACAGTCAATATTTTAACAACTCCAATTTAATAAACCTGACTCTAAATATAATGTATAGTCAAGATAAAGAGGTGAAATGGGCTGTCACTGTTGACCTAGGTAAGTCAAATATTTAGACCACTACCTTACAGCATTCCAGAAAAAACTGTTATAACCCACATTATTATTAACATTTGTCCCTTGGGTTCCTAGTGTAACATAGGGATTCAGTAGCACGTCTCCAGTACACTCTCTTCTCTACAATCTTTTGAACCTGGTTCCACAACTGCCCACAAACTCTCATTTCTTCCTCGCACCATCTCCTCCATGTCACCCTCACCTCGGACGCCCAACTCGTCGCTTCCCATCGGGGTTCCACTCGAGCAACTGGCCTGGCGCGTGATGTCCTTGAATGGTCTTCTCAGTGTATGCCCAATGCAATACATCTCCACTTTCTTCTGCATATTTGTTCAGCGATAGGCTCCTAGTTGGTTCGTCATCACCTAGTCAGAGTACCTTGTTGCTTATTCTTATCATTCTGGCCACCTGATCTTCAGTATCGAGCCAGTGTAGGCAGTTGTTGATGAATGTCTGTAGTTTGTTGGAAATCCCTTTCGTGACGCATCAAGTGTCTGAGCCATACAGAAGCACTGACTTGATGTTGGTGTTGAAAATCCGGATCTTGTTTCGAATGCTGAGTGCAGATCTCCACACTGGTTTCAGGCTAATGAAGGCCTGTCTTGCTTTTCCGATCCTGGTTTTGACACCCATATGTGTGCCGCCACCGCCTGTAGTTGAAATGATGCTGCCTGAGTAGAGAGGTAGGTGAAAGAGGCTACTTCCTTTAAGTTCCTCCCGTTGATGGTGATTGCGACTTGCTGTTGTTGTTGGTGGTGTTGGTTGGGTATCTTCATCACCTCTGTCTTCTCTACGTTCACGTGAAGTCCCGTCTTCGCTGTCCTGCCTCGCCTCTTCTGTCAACTTGTTACTTTTACCCTGTACATCTTCGAGTTTGTGCAACAAGACATGAGACATAAATGATCATCGCCGAAATCCAAGTCTTCTAGGTTCTTTTCTGCCGTCCAGCGTATCCTCCTCTTCTCGCTCCTCACTGTTTGTTGTATGGTCCAGTCCACTACAATCAGGAATATCATGGGTGATAGCAGACAGCCTTATTTTACTCCTGTCTTCACTTCAAAAGCATCACTGAGCTTCCGATTGTGAATTACTTGGCATGTGGCATTTTCATATAGTTGTTGAATGAGACTGATAAAGGTTTGTGGTGTTCCGTGGTGCCGAAGCAACTGCCTGTCAAATGACTTCTCGGTCGACGCTGTCAAAGGCCTTTTCAAAGTCGATTAAGTTGAGGTAGAGGGTTGACTGCCATTCCAATAACCCACATGCCACACCTAATATTCTTTTGGTGTCTGCTATATATGAGGACGCTTGAACTATAACCTTCAGATTCCACCCTTAATGGTAATGGTCGATCAGTTTCTTCACAAATGGAAGAACGCAGTAAGATAACAGGTGTATTGTAAAGTCAAAAGGTTATACAAAGTACAAAGGGTTGATATGTATTTACACTGGCTTTGACTATTTCCATGTCTTTCCAGATCTGAACCCTATTGATTTTTCGTCTCTGTAACCAATTTGATATTCACACGTTGGTTCACATGCTTTCTCCCGAAACTTCTGGGCGAAACGATTGATTGTAACAGGTTTCAGAAATTAAGGGCTTTTTATTGCAGAGCATGGCAATCTTATTCCGCACTAAAATAAAAAACTACTCAGTCACAAAATGGAACCCCTTTACACATTCATTCTAACCGTTAAGACTTAGGTGAAGCTTCTGATGTGTTACACAAAACTGCACATGTTAAGCAAGTAGCATTATTATTACTACTAACTATGGAGCCTATCTTGGTGTCTACTTTGCGTTTTATGTAAATAAGTAACTACTTATTTTAGTATTCGCATTTCCCAATGAATGAAAACCCAAACAAGGTTGAACATCATTTACCCAAAGCCCAAATTTTCTCAAATTATCCAACTGCAACATGGTTTGGGCATTTATACACAAAGAAAATGAGATAAAACGAATATTTGTATCCATTACTATTTTTATTCATTTTGAGTTTACATAGATTATGGCTTGAACACCTGTAACGGTTGTGTCCTGAATGATACCAGCTTGATTCTGTGATAGGGACACATGTCTTAGTGCTTTCAGTGCATTAAGTCTGGTAATTAAAGTAAACTCAAGAGCCTGATATTCCTTTTTTCAAAGAATGAGTTTTATCTAGTACTTTTTCACATACAAAAAGCAAATAAAAGCTAACCTATAACAGTGCGAAAATGAATCAGACAAAAGACCACAAATTTTGAAAGTGCCACATTCCCCAAAATGAACGTTTCATACGTTCACCTGATAGAAAATTTGAATTATCTTTTCACGTCTTTTCAGCCTCACGTGAATCGCTTATTTGCACTACTTTTAAGAACTCTATTTCCCTATAGCATAATCTCCTACTTCTAATATTCTAATTTTTTGTTCGTACCAAGGACGTTCATACTGTATATAGACGCAAAAGTTGCATCCCCATATTCATTCTTTGGGATTGAAGTACACTATTCAGTCTAATACTGTCTTCCTCCTTGTGTTAGTTGAACCAGTTGCCGAGTATTATATCGTTTATCTAATATCTAAGTTACGTGTCCCTATTTAACCGTATTCAAAAGTCTCAAGACAAACAAACAACCTTCACTAACAAACAGACAGATGAGGCAAGTTAAAACCTGCCACAAGAATATCTAAGCTGAAGTTGCAACACTTCACAGAAGTACGGAAAAGTGATATTCAGCCAGAAAAATGTGCTTGGAAGGAAACATAATTCATATATGAAAATTAGTGAAAATATCAGAGTTCAAAGATGATAAAACAGTGAATATATTTGTGCCATTGTGATAGATTTTCAGTTATGTCACCGAGGCTCTTCTTTAACCATTGATTCCTATTGTCCCAAGTACCCCAGTCAAACAGTCTACACTTCATTAAATCAATGAGACGAACAGTTATAGAATTCATCAACTGGTACCACATCTTGGTCTCGTTAGTTAGCTTTCTTCCATCACAATCCTACTTCAGGTAAACATTCCAATTCGAGGTAAGCGGTGACTCATCATGGGCGACAAATGCCTGAGCCACAACAGCAACAATAACAACAGATGAATAGTTAGTTTAGATCTGCTAAAAATAAGACGAAATATCAGGACGAAATGCTGTTAAAAAATAAATAACCCACCAGGAGGTACAGGGTCATGACGATAGGCTTCAAAGAGTTGGGTTAATTCTTTGTCTTGTTCACCAGTCCAATGACTAGTTTTCTTGCTGAAGAGAAATGAAAATATTTGTAACTTTACGTTTCCTACAGATGCTGTTATACATGTCATTCAAATAAATGTACACGTAGGATAAATGAATATGAATGGCGAAATTCACAGAGACTGGAAATCCTCCTGTGCATAGAAGACAACTGAATAAGTGATAAGAAAAGTACCAGTATGGAGAAAAATTATGATCTAATAAAAAGTGCTTATTTTCATCTTTCACCTCTAAACATGGAGTTGTTAGGATTTTTAGACAATTCCGAAATCGGAAAAAACATTTGTTACCAATATGAATTTGTACTAGTCAGCCAAACTACGGCTATCTTAGTCAAATTATAATTAATATGAATTTCTTACAAACTTACTTATCCTCAAAAGTACCATATCCTTGAACAGTTTCATAACTTTCTTTTACAGTTTTCAAGAAAAGTGTTTCAATCAGAACATAGTTGTTTTTTCTTGAACTTCAAAAATTTTCTCAAAATGTATTTAATAAGGTTAGCCAATTCCTGACAAATACAAAAAAAGAACGCAATATTACTGAATTCAACAATGTAATCAAACTTAAGCTTACATATTGGCTTATGTTAAATGAATGACACGTGCTGGACATCTGTTTCGTCCTAGTGTAGAACCCCTCAGTAGTGCACACCCACCCACCCATCAGGGATCGGTCCCAGGAACTTCAGGTCCCGTGACCAACACGTTACCATTGAAAGATTGGGTCGGAACCCAGTGGTCGATATTTCCTGCTTCTGTCAGTTCATGAGGTCGCGCTATAGACCCAGTGGTTCAATGGCAATGTGTTGATCGCGGGACATGAAGTTCCTGGGTTTGATCCCTGACGGGGTCATAGGTGCGCATTGTAGAGGAGTCCCATAGTGGAGTTGGACAGCTGTCCAGTGTTCCCAGGTTTCCGATGTTTGTCTAACTGATGTCAGTCCATGATGAATACCGATCTGAAATCAATAAATCAATCTTCATAAATCTTCAACTAGAATAACAAATACCCATACAAAATCGTCGGGGATAGCATAGGTCTTCTATGGTTTGCAGTCAACTTAGTATCTATCACAATAAGTTACACTGATAAAAAGTAAGCAGGATGTGTGAAAGCTATTCCGCCATAGTTGACTGAAAAATAAATAGGAAACAAACAATTTCAACGTGGATTTCATCTATACATCCGGTGTGATAGTTTAAGAATTAACTCACTAAACTTACACACTACGTTAAGTACAATTTCAGTTTGTCGGGACTATGAGAGCTACAATATATATCGCCCTGTAAAAATAATAAAAGTGGTCGTCAAACAGCCAGAAACCTATTTCATGTGAACATGAGAACAGACACTCTGACCGATAGCTCCTAGCTTGAAGTGGTGACCCGGCTTGCATATTATAACTATCCAAAGAGCAACGCTACCTGTAATACTTGTTCCTTTATGTCCTGCCATGTAAGAAACGTCTGTTGGATACTGGTGAAACAAAAAGCAGTTACCATTGTAGTTTAAATTGCTACGTCATGAAGTGAAGTCGTGTTGCCGGCTGGACGAGATGTGACAGCATTGAAATGTTTCTTGTGGATGACTAGAAGTACTCTGTGCAGATGATACTTACCTTAAAGGAAGATTGGGGAGTTAGAAAAGGTTGTCCCCTTGTATAGGACACTACGCTGCCTTGCAGAGTTCCAATGTGGGATTAAAGCAATCAAATCTCAACTCGATAATCCTCAAAAGGCTGTAATATGATAGATAGAAAGATAGACAGACAGAAGTAACGTAGAATCTCCCACACAAATGCGTCAGCTCAAGTTGCCACACTTCACAGTAGTATACACAAAACAAGTGGAGAGTATGAGTGATATCAAAGTCGACAAAGTTGGGTGAGGGAATAAGCAATTTGAGATAGACGTTAGTGTGAATATTCAGGCTTTAGATGATGTCAAGGAGGGAATACATCTGCCATATTTCTTGACCTGAAGTCGGTATTTGACTCTGCCGATCGTTAGGTGTTGTGGCAGTGTGTGACTGTGAAAGGAGTATCTAGAAAGTATGTGAAGCTAATTAAAGTCCTATACTCGAGCTCATGCAACCATGTAAGGACTTATGGAGAGTTAACATATGAACTGACGACAACCAGTGGTGTCCGCCAAGCATCCCTGATGTAACCGTTCCTGTTTAACTTTGATATAGAGGCATTAATGGACATAAGCTTAGTAACCTCCAACTTCGCAGACATTTATCTACTCCCTGGAGGGCACTTGACAAAATGTAGTCTTCTGAACACATAAGTTTGGCATTGGTTATTCAGACAAATCACCCATACAGTACATGAAATCCTTTGATTCGTTAAGTAGAGGAAAAAACAAACCCCCAAGCAATAAAGTTTTCGACTAAATTGTAAATGTTCAGAGAAAATTAACATCTAAACATTTGACATTGTTTGTTCTGCTCATTATCTGTTAGACAACACAAACATCAATGCGATAAGACTTAGTTCATATTCAAGTTAACAGCAAACTAACTAGATGAACAATCGAAGATCATGAAGATACATTGTGTTAGCTAACATGACCTTCGAATCAACCCGAAATGCCATTTAAATTGACTGTTAACACAGTTCAGTGCCAGATAAAGACGCTGACAACAAACAGTTTTTTTGGAAAAGAAGCCCTCAGCTACCTTGTGCACAGCCATGCAGTCAGCAATGAACCACACATATTGTGTAAAGGCTAGTGATACTACCTGGCTACCCAAACCTCAGCAGGTGGAGCGGTGTTCGAACCCGTGGCCCATTGGTTGAAAGTCAAACTCCTTGAGCAAATATATAAGTATGTTTTACATTCGTTGCATACCTGTCACATGTAAGATCATGCTTCAAAACTAGTCTACATCAATAGGGAGTCAAGTGGTAGAATGTGATGACCATTTAACTTACGAAGTTGCATCAACTCCAATAGGTTGGGTTGGTTAAAAAAAGCTCGCTTCAGACACAAAAGGTTACTGTGACATTTGCCAGCTTACATCATCTGTGATACCAGCCAGATATCCAACTATTTATTGAAGGACAAGTTTAATGTGATATATTTCCCTGTCTTATTATATGGGAATGAAATATGACTGCTGAAAGTAAATGTTAAGTGTTTAAGTGTTTTTAACCATAGGTTTCTTCGAAAAATTGTCCGTCTGTGATGGAATCCCAATTCTGAGAAATCGCGATGTTGGGCGTAGAGCAATAAAAAAGGGAAATAAGTCAGTCATTCGTGAATACTCGCCGGTCGAGATGGCATGGACATCTGTTGCACACACCGGGGCAATACTTACTTTGGCATGCGATATTAACCGAAGTATGATTGCGTTGGAAGAAGACTCAGGGTGGTCAGATAAAGATTTGGAACTAGGACGTGAAGTTGACTGTTTATCTGAACAGTGCAATGGAGGTATAAACTCTCTGGCTAGGGTCTTAAAAATAATAGGAATCAGTGGTTGAAGAGTCTTGGTAAAATGGCTGAAAATCGGTTACAATGGGACAAATGCTTTTAGTCTTTGACATCTTTGAAAATTTGAACATTTTCACTAAACTTCATATTGATAATTCTCTCTCCACTAATACACTTTTATCTATTTCCATCGACATACTTCTGTGCGATGATCTATATTGGTTTGTCTGTCAGTCTATTGAAAAAGATTCCAATTAGGATTAGTATTGCAAAACAAGCTGTTTGAGTGTAAGACGCCTCCATAAAAATTAGTTATTATACTTACTTTAAATTCTGGAGAAGTTGATAAACCGCGGTCATGTACAAACTTCTGAAATACTCGAAACAACCGTAGTTGGAAAAAACATCCAGGAAAGTGTTCACGTACAGCCAATCGATGAATAGTATGAACTAGAGCGTAATTGGTTGTTCGAGGATTAGTATCGTAATCATCTAATAGTAGACTGAACAACCCAGTTATTATTGAAAGGATGAAAGCAACAAGGTTTACAGGTTAAACAAAAAAGCTGAATATTCGTCTTAACATAAAAGTAGGAATATGTCACAAATCTTTTAAAAATCACTACTAATCTGATTTCATCGTAATATATCATATTCATAGTATTTTAAATATATGCACTCAAAAAAATATTTCGGGATCCACCTAGTGAAGATGCACCAACTACATAGTACATTAAGTATTAGATTATTTGACATAGCACACAGTAACATAGCATAATATACTGGATAACATCTCGAGGCGAATTTATTGCTTATATTCAAATCAAAGTACATCAAGTGCATATTAATTGTTCTAGCATACACTTCGTAAATAAAAATGAGAGTCGTCGTGACATTCCGTAGTATTTTCATTTGCTGAATATGTTAACCGTTTGTTCATGAAATAAGTGTTCACTTAGTTACGAAACATCGGTATTCTGTGTTGCTTCATCGAATTCCTGGTGTCCATCGCCTCTTAATTACTGCCAAAAGGTGATTTTCGGAAAATACTATCCAATGAAGTGCTTCACAAAATAGACTTGAAAAAGTTGAGCTTGTTTGATATAAAGAGATGTATGCTGACGGGTCAGTGATTAAACAGAGTTGAATAAAGCCATTTTAGACTGCATCACATTCGGTAAAAAAACAACTATGCAGATATTCCAGTAGATGTTTTTCGACTCTGATTTTTGATTATTTTTGCAATAAGACCTCTTAATTAACATGTATGAGTGCAGGAATAATGACCAGAAAATATTAAAATGATTTTAATCACTAGTCTACGCTTGAAAGTATCTTGTGACATTCTGATAAAGTGGATTTCAGTCATTACATTACCATTGGATTTTGCGATAATAGTTGCATAGATGAGGATACCTGTTAGTGGGATCACAAAACGTGACAACTTTGACTGCGCTTAGCAGCAGGAATACAATATTATAAAGCCATTAAAAGTATTTAAGCACTAACCGAGTGACGTTCATCAATTTTCAGGAATATACTAGGCAAGATATCTAACAAAACTCACTGAAGGATCGCAAAACATAATGACCACAAAATAGTTGATATTGGAAAAAAAAGCGTTGATTGGATTTGTCTGAAAAATATTTCTCTAATTTTAGCCGCTAGTAGACAGCAAGACATCTTGTATTCCAAATCATGTTATTTCAAAGGTTAAGAAGATTAGACAAAGTATTTTGAGCAGAGAAAAACCAGGTAGAATCTCGCATTCACCATCATCAAATTAAGTTGTTACACAACAGCCTAGTTAAACTTTGGGTTATCTTATTTTACCACGAAATATATTGCATCAGATTTCTCCTTTCTACATTATTTTAATCATCCAGTTATGTTATCTAATCCTATTGCATACTCTCGTGTATTTTTAAAATTGTTACGACCTATTGCTCTACAAATCGATGCCCAAATTAAGGAAAAGCACCATAGTGGATGGCAACGGGCCCTCAAATGTATAAATAGTCCGGAAATTACAGAACCCTTTTATCAAATTTTCAACAATAAATAATTTCTGACTAGTAGTTTAATTACCAGTGTAAAACTAACTTTTTCCTCGTTATAGATATTCTTTTCATAAATTGCTATATTAACACTATTAGAAATGTGGTAAAGGAGTAATATATATATATAATATATATATATATATATATATATATATATATATATATATATATATATATATATATTGTTGCAGTGTATCATGCTAAAAATTTTTAATTGTGCCAAAACATTCTTCGAAATAAAGTGATCATTATTTTTTTAATGGAGATCAGACAATCAATATTAATATGGGACTGGGCTTAACTATGTGACGATTCAAGTTATCGCACTTGGTATCAGCACATCAACAAACAAGGCAACAAGATTTTTGAAAACATGGTAGGAGTGTAGTCGAAAGTGGTACAGGCTAAAATGAAGAGAAAGAGAGAGCAAAACGATGACGAAATGCTGTATACAAATTAAGAAGATAATGTGTGGATGTATGTACGCCACTGTGATCCATTCTCAGCCATATCACCTACAGTCTCCAATCACTGATTTCGATTGTTACACGGACCCGAATCAGAAAGTTGATCTTCATGCACACGGCCTAGACTAACAACTAGACGCACTTCATGAACTGATGTAGTCGCATCTGATATTTTTCCTTCTTGAACCCACCGCAGCTAACATCGTGATGGGTAAGACGGCAACTACGCACGTAAAACACATGTACGAGTCACTTCAGTAGATGAAGGTTCAGAAATCCATTAGACTGACTGACTTTTTCAACTTAGGACTCTGAACCTAACTTATATATTAATAAACAAGGTTCGTCCAAGACAATGGACTTATGCCACGATAGTGACGACCATTGAACAGCTGGAGCCTTCTCATGTTCTCTACCTTTAAATGCCATGAGATAAAAATCAGGACATGAAAATATAAAAGTAACAAGCGAAAAAAAGAAGGCTTTGTAAAGAGAAAAGTGACTATATTCTTAACATTCGGGAAAACGTTTGAGTGAATGGTCAACTACTGTTTACAAAACATCTCGTAAGCTTTAGTCAGGAACCCAATGTTTCTTTGAGTAAACTAGTTCAAAAACCAGTCACATAAGTGGATGGCATCATAAATGTTAGTCGCACGGAGACAATCAACAAGAAGCCCTGCACTAAGGTTTTGTGGATTCTGGCACTCATCAATAAGGCATATCTGCAACCTCGATGGAACTGGTGTGGCACCCAAGATTCGAACGCGCGTCACCCAGTGTTGCAATCAAAGACGCTATCGTTGAGTTATTCAGGTCGTGATTGACCACCTGTAGGGTTGGATTAGGCACATTGATTAGTCAATGGAGGGCCATTAACTTGATGCTGTCTACTCCGAATTGCTGATTGAATTCGACCGATCACGGATGGCAGCATAACTTAATACATTTAACCTGCTGTCTTCCAAGATATATTCTCAGTCCAGATAAAACTAACGTCGATGCTGTAGTATTTGAGTTACAGAGGATACATATACTTAGAAAAAGACGTCCGGCAAACTATAGAAAGACACAAAAAGAAGCATCCAACGCCTAACTGGAGTTCAGCTAAACCACGAAAACCACACAGCTTTCAGAAGCGAATACGATTGCACCTACCAGATCGTAGAGCACAGGTAAAGATCTGCATCCCGCAAGGATGACGTTTGATTGCTTCAACGGAAAGAGTTTATGGATTTCTTTTACGTTATTGCTTCCATTATTATCACATGGGTGATTGGACCGAAGTGATCGGTGTCTGTGGACATATGAGCCCTTTTCGGATGTCGTGAAATTACCTGCAGTTTCAGTTCGTTAGTGATGATGGATTTTAGCCAGCAGTGGAATCCAGGGCACGTGTTTCGTCCTATTTGGGACTCAGTGGTCAACTGGATGTGCCTGCCTCCCAGTGAGCGATGTTGTTCCTACTAAGACTCGAACTGAAAGCCAATCGCTGCAGACACCAGAACGCTACCCACTAGGCCACCGAGTCATGAAAGTCATTTCTTTTGCGACGGGTGTACATTTTTCCTTGTCATTGCTTGTTTTATCCCATGGTTGATTGGAGGACACTCTGACGTTTGAAGCGATTGGTCTCGGGTTTAAGTCTTAGTGGGAACAAAATCGTTCACTGGAAGGCAGGTACATCCAGTTGACCACTGAGTTCCAAAACAGGACGAAACGCGTGTCCTGTATTCCACTGCTGATCACAATTCATTATCACAAACGAACTGAAACTACGGGTAATTTCAACACATTCGAAAACGAGCCCATATGTCAACAGAGACCGACCAATCCCGTCTAATCAACAATGGGGTAATACAAGCAACAACATTTAAAAAACGTTTCCCGTCGCACAAGAATTAGCTTTGGCCACTAGGTGGCCACTGCACGGAACATATGTCCTGGACTCTACTGCCAGCTACGATCCATTATCACTACCAGGCTTTATGGTTGTCGATTACCGAAAAGAGTTCCTATTAAGTAAGTAGATTATCTCACTGAAGACTTTATGCCGCGACTTCCACGATCGCTCTACAGTCTACGGTTATGGCAAGTTAATGTTTAAAAGTGCTCTTCTGAATGATTCATGATTATCAATTCAGTTACTTTTACAGGCTGGTTATATATTCGTTGCCTAGTAAGGATTGAGAGTGCTGCACAGCAGTTCACCCTCTCTTACTTTATGGCTACGGAACATGGTCACCAAGGGCAGAAAATATTTTAAGACAGTTATTTGACCAGTGTTGTCTTCATACTATCGCCTGAGTGTGATGGAACCACCACATGAATAATATAGACATTAGGTACAAGATTTCAAGTGATGGCGATAAGCTGATTGGTGAGGTTATGACTGGAAACTTTGTTATGCAACCCCAGGCACCGTCCACAATAATATGTTGTCACATGGATTCAGGTTAGGTTGAAAAATAACTGCGTGAACAGACTAAATCATGGCATTATTTCATAAAATCTCTGACCATTGGTCTGAACAGCGCAGGGAAATGTCCACGAAGCAACCAAAACGGTTAGATGGGCAAGGTGGATGAAATTGCCCATATTACTGCTGTGTCGCAGATTCACCCCTGCCTTATCTTCATCTTGATCTTTGTCATACTTCGCTGTTTGATGAAACCCCTCTTTTCTCTGCATAATTTTTCATATTGATTTTCCGATATTATTTGTTAAAGTGAACACCAGTAATGCTAGGTCCTATGTTCATAAGGTTTATCTGTCTGGTTATGTTTTGTAAAGTCAAGGATGACTGAAATTTTGGAGTTACAGTTAATACTCTCTTGATATTACTTACTACTAGGAATGTTTCTATGAGTCTATACAATACACGACTTTTCGACTATCCTATCATTAAGCAAACGCTCAAACCATGATGCATTGTACCGAATTAGTAAGCCACTATTTTAAATAAGTTGCAAACAATTTACGACTTTACTCTGCACATCACTGATATTAACCGATGGTTTTACGGAGCCAAATGGCTGACAAAATCTGTCAAACTTACGTATAAGCGTGTACAATACGCGGATGTAGAAATTTGAGAAGAAAAGTACTGAAGTCAAGAACTACTTCTTTTTCGCTGGCAACTAATTCTTCATCATTTGAATCACTAATACCGAGTTCTTCGTTGTAAAGATCATCGTCATCCTCTAAAGAAGATTCACCAGCTGCCTCCTCTTCCGCTTCTAAAAGTTAAGACATGAAAAAGTTCATTCAGCGCTATTTACTTTAAAGTAAAGTGAGTAGTCTGTTGGAATGTGTCTACTCAAATGTTAACTTTTATTCAAATAGATAGAGAGAACTACTGTTATCCTAAGGAAGTGAATCCAGAAAAGAAATTCAACAAGAGGTCACAATAATACAAATTTAATTTATAAAACAAGAATCACATAAAAACGTATTATCAAACTAACCTAATTCTGACATATGAATTTGTCGCAAGCCTCCTAGTATATTCAAGCACTCAGGTGGTAGTCCAGCAGCACGTCCAGCATCGATAGCTGGATTATCTTCTTCAATAGTAATTGGAGCAATTTCTGGCCAAAGACGCCACATTCGTCTAGCCATCGCCAAAGCAGTTTTAGCTGCACCGGCAAACAAAGCAGCCTGAACTCGACGAATAGCTGATTTCAGTTGCTGATCTTCACTGTTACCTGTAGTAGCATCGAACAATCGTGTATCATTCATATCATCACCACTTTCATCATTTTCATTCTCTTGTTGAGTAGATCCAAGTAACAGTTGTATAAGAGGACCCTCTAACTGACCAGACCACTGTTGTTCAAGACGGTTACTTCTTACTGCTTCGGGTCCTGACTCATCACATTACTTTCCTTTTTAATTTTCCCTTTCAATTGTCGTTTCTTTCTACGACGAACTCTTCGACGTTTTACGAGAAATTTTTTGCTGCCACTACCAATTTTTTTTGAGAGTAGACTTATAAATAAGTGACATCCTTCAACCAAATCGCACAAATATTCCCTAAGAAGAAAACAACTATGATACTTAGAAAAGACTGATACAACATAGATATGAAACTATAGGAAATTGTTGACGCTAAATAGTGTCTAAGTCTTGGTTGTATGATGTTCTTTGAACTGGGTTGGTTAATACAACCGAGATCGTCCTGAGCTACAAACATTCTCCACCATTTCAAAATCATGAGTGTGTAAGTGAATACACCAACTTCACAGAGTGCAAACAGACTAGTACAATATGATATAATCCAGCTGTAAAATGAACAGTTACAGTCTAGCTAAAATAAATCATAGGAAACTAGGTGTTTATGGGCAACAGAATTCAAGAACTTATTCACACGACTTTTCATTGAAAAGAATTGACGTCAGTTGTATCAGATTGGACGGTGCAATTTAACTGTTATTCATTTTGCTGAATCAACCTGAACGGCTTCTGTTGTTTTATGGACATCATCTTACAGCTGTCTTGATACTGTGATTAGTTACATTCTTGCACTGCTTGTCAGTGTCACGAAGTGAAATTCTGGGCAATCCTTTCGCCATATTAGGAATTTGACAGTTGAATGGACGATTAACAACAGCCATATCTACTAGGAAATAAAATTTCAGATTATGTTTACTGTTTTTCTGGAGTTCTCAAAATATCTGGACGACAAAGGGCTGTTATTTTCACTATTCATCTTATAAATACACGATTAAACAGTAATCTAACCTACGGGAAAAAATCCTGTTCAGGGAACTCCATTCTTAGAACCATATCCACCTGCATTTTATCACAGAACATCGATCACGTCTCCAGAGTTTATGAAGACGGTATCGTCTGGAAAGATAATGACAGCCTTACGGTAGTATCATGCAGCTCATAGAATTCAATTGCTCTAAAAGAGTGCCTTTCGCAGCACCCTTAGATCTACTAAGCAACCGACCAAACAACATTACTACTCCATCAATTTGTAACAAATGAAAATCGGATAATATCAGATATAAAATTATAACTATACAACATAGCAAGAAAATAATAATAAAGGTTCGATAGTGAAATACTCAAAAATACTAGACATCGCATACTTTGACATAAATATTTCATTGTAGTCTCTTAGAAGAATTGGAAATACCTCTTGATATTCAGAAACATAGAATACATTTTCTAGTAAAAAAAAAAAGAAGAGATGAGGTAAGTATAATTAAAGTAGATCATACAACTGCTTACATTAGACAGCAAGGATGTAATAAATCAGAGACGGAAGTAGGTGAAAACAACGAAACAGCTTAAGACAATGAATGATGAACTACAATTTCACGCTGTTACTGTGTACCGCAGTATTTCACAACTGTATAACAGTCAACCAGGGTGTTAGTTTCCAGGCTTAAGTTGAGAGCTGAGTGCTTAAATAAAATTTCAACCGGGGTACAACGTCGTCAAAGTCATAAGACATTTAAGATCTGTAACCATCTAAACATATTTCTCAACAACTACTAGTGTATGGTCAAACAAACTTTAACTAACGTTCTAATAAGCACTAGTTGAATGTTTTACGACGAAGATCTTTCCATAACACCGACCTTGTTGAACTTCGTGGTGAACTGCTTAAAGTCGAAAAATATACACTAATGACGTCAGATCTAGTGTTTACCTCGGTCCGTTAACATTTTAAGGATCCGTATTTTTGCTTATCAATGACTTTCTGGCTGTTAGTGACTGGGACGAAAAACCATCTTCAAAATCAAGCAGAAATCTTCAAGTCACAAACCTAGAAAATGTGAACACTTATTGAACATAAAAATAATCTCCAATATGATTTTTAGGTGCTAGTGGGAGGAAAGATATTTGAGTTTTGACCAATAAATTCAGTTAGTCTACTTCATAGGAACAGCTCTTTAACTTAAACCTTGAAATACTAATACGAGTCATAAGACAAGAAATTATTGTCCATAATCATAACTGGTTGCGTTAAAAAACTGCAATGTGGATAGCACTTGGACGCAAATTCGAACTATGGATCCCGAGAGATTTACAAACCTATATGGTAAAACAATCCTTCAATAAACAGCAAATGACTTGAATTGGATTAGTAATGACTAGACGATCAAAAACCTTTCTCATTATTTCCTGTCAACCAAAAATTCGAATTGGTGCAAGGTTGTTTTATATGGAGTAGTAAAATAACTTGAAATAATATTTAAGCCCAGTTCACATATTAAAAGGGAGATATGCAATATGCGTACTCAATTATGTCCGTCTTACAGAAAACATGTCTACGTTATTGGTAACGATAGAGAAACAACTACTGCTCATTTTAATTACATACCGATAATTGACTCAGCAACACTGGCTTGTAAACGTAAACGTTCTTCAACGCATTCCGGTGTTTCTTCATCTTCGGGTTGAACAGTTTTATCCTCTGCAGTCACGTTTAGCATACGATTTAGGCAAGTTAAAAATTCTCTGTAAGCAGCTATGGAGAGTTCTAAACGTCGAGCTGCTTGCATTGCACGCTGATTCGAGGATCCACCACGCTTATTTGTGAATAAATGTTCTCGGTAATTCATCACTTGATCATATATCCAGTGGAAAATTGAAACACTAAGGGTTTCACTTTGAAGAAAAAAATGCAGTTTTCAGTTAAAATTTGATAATTCAATGGAAACGAGGTAAAAATAATCTACGAACAATTTTAAAAAATGGTGTCATCAGGTTATAACCCCACGAAAGTTTCCAAACCAATAACCGAATGAGAAAACATGAACGAAAATTCAACCACGAGTGGTCAAGGATGGGTGTTAGTGAAATCCATAGAAAATGATAGTTGATATACGATTTTTTTCACGAAAAAAGCCAACATAGCACGTTCGAAAAATCCCATACACCAGGCGTTTCAATCACTCTTACCTTTGCGAGTAACAACAGCTAGTGGTCTTGTCAGTTACGTTCATGACGAACATTTTTCATAATGAAAATGTAAACCAGATTTTATGGACACTAGTAAATCCTTACCAATATATATATATATATATATATATATATATATATATAAAGCCGCATATGTGCAGCCAGATTTGGCAATTCATAGCTTCAAACCTCAGTTGTGTATTCAAAAGAAACATGTACGAACACTTTCTTTACCATGGCCTTAATCAGAAATCAAATCTTACTGTTCACTGCATTTTATAAAAACTATTGAGATCATGCCCTGTTACGTAATATCATTTCACTCCCTACACACGCCTATCGATTAAGTTTGATCTTTGAACGGAAACTTTTCTAGAACATTCCATAACATCTTATATATTTACTAATGTACAGCTGTGAAAATGAGTCGTCGAAAAAATGATTATCCTCTTTTTATTTCTCAATGACCAAATGGGGATTTTTCGTCGTCACTAAGTTGACTGACGAACTAAATTAGTTGCTAAAATGACTGAAAATAAAGCCGTTCAGAAATGTTGTTGGGGTAAATATACCGATTTTAAACTGTGGAAAAAACTTGCTGAATCATTATTGCAATGATCAGCATAGTTAAGTAAACTGACACAATGCATACCTGATGTAGTCCGATCGAAACCGATAAACTCTACAAAAAGCCATGAAGAATCGCATAGTCCAGAGAAAATACGTTTCATCATTCTCTTGAGTAGTTTGACGAGTTAAACCTGACTGTACGGCCCGCATGATTGGATTATAACAGAACTTTAGGAATTGCCAACAGAAACTCTGGATTATTGATAAAAACAAGTAATAATAGTCGAATATTGGTAGATGTTGAAATTACAATAACGATTAATATAAGCTTATGAAATAAAAACACAATAAAGCTCACCAGTATGTGGTAGCTTGTAAACTTTTATTCTTTGAAGAATTAGCTTGGAAAAAAAACAGCATAACACCACAGATCGATTCTTTTGCTTTGCTTACATATTACGAGCTCATTTTTATGAGTTTACTGTGGATTACTAAGATATTGTTTGCAACCTTACCAATGAATAATTATATATTTCGTGCTAGAAACTGAAGTCGATAAAGAGACAACAAGCTAACGCCATCTCTTTTAATACAGAATATCTCGTAGTATATTAAATCTTAATACATCAGTCATAACATACAGCTTCGTACGCGAATCCGTATAGATGGATATGCTGCATTTTTTTAAAAACAATTAAATGCATGGTCTCTTATTCTAAGTGACGGAAACCTCCCATATAGTTACGATGATTCCACATCGTAACTCTAACATTTGGAAAGCTAACATTGTCCTAAATTGGCTAGAGGATTTCGGTGTAAATGATTCTCAACTGTTCAAACTAATCAAAAACAAGATATGCACCACGTACTCCTGGAAAAGTCATGAACAAAGTGTTGAGAAAACGAAATAAAACAAATGTGACATGGTGAAAAAGTAAATATGCTTAATTATTGATGCAGTTATGTTATTAAAATGCATTCAATACGATACCTGCAGATATAATTGGACAGCCAAAATTGAACGCCGGTGCACTGACCGATCAACCAAAGGTTTACGATTTTTAGGTTTCCGAAACTTCCGTTTACCTAAATCCAACTCAACAATTCCAACATTATCCTCCACATCTCTGGTATTATGTAGACGCGTACCAACTGATGCAGCTATTCTAGTCGCATATGTAATATCATGGTGGTAAATAAGTGGCCGTTCACTTAAAGACGATGTGTTTCCCAACTCAAAAGCGCCACCAAATCGAGTTTGCCTATGCAGAAAAGGTGTTGAAAGCAAAATAGTATTTTTTTACTGCAATGACAAATGTTACTGTTAAAAGGATGCGGAAACAAATCGCAAAACATAAATAGTTCAAAGTACCCAAGGTTTTTTGAGATGTGATGCCAGGCGTTTCGGGATCATGTTGCGTGAGTTTATCACTTAGGGAATATATAAGGCCTACACATGTATGCACACTATTCACTGCAAGAAAAGTGAACTTGCACTCAGCTACAATTTAACTACACTGCACTATTAAAAGGTCTTCGAAGGATATCTGTTCCATTTTACCTGAACATTCAGTGATGAACTTTAACTTAAAAAACTTGATGGTGTCACTTAAAGCGATGGTTCGTATGCAACGGAGACTAAATAGACCTATTCAGTTTGATAGGAATGTCGTGAACAAGTAATTTTACTTAGAAGGATGAGAGTGACACCATCAAAGGACATCTCATATTGGTATACATAGTATGTGGTTAGTTTCGCTAATTACTTATTATAATTTGGATTGACTCATCGGTCAGGAGAAGCCATAACCCAGTATACACACCATATAAAAAGTATCTAATTCCAAGTATAAAGGTAAGCTGAGTATAAGATATGTAAGCAATCTTACTGGAGCTAAACACTCAGCAATAAATATCAACGAAAGCCTGAAACACTTTTTACTTCAATGATTTGAAGACATACATACACGTTCGGATAACCTAGTGCCCAAAAATAATAAAAGCTTATTAGTGGAGTTTTTTACGAATACATACCAATGAACACTGTGCCTTACACAAATAACTTGAGACGCCATAGTTGTAGACGGTCAATTGAAACTACTCTCTGTTTTATGTAGTTAGGTAGGCTATCCAGTCTCGGTAACAATTTGTAGGAAGAGTGGTAAAGACAGTTGGTAACCTACACCCAAAGGTTAGCAGATATCATTGTATTTCCGCAACGTCATCCAAACTGACTGATGCGTAGAAACTAACTCCAGATGGCTCCAACCACAACGAACAGCGAAAGCAGCTTAAACGTAAACTGATCAAGAGTTCGCGTCGATCACGAAGAGTGGTGGATAAAGAAAGCGACAGAGAAGGCATCAGCGTTAGGTAATACCTGGAAACTATTTTGGCCTAATAAGGGTACCGGTAAGAAGACACCATAGCCGGAAAGAATGGAGTGCTGGTAAACTCCTAGTACAGGCGGCTAGAACATTTGGCAGAACACTTTGGAGCAAAGTTCAACTGACCCTAAACCAGGCTAAAGTTGCCCAACGTTCATCCAGAACATGAATGGGACGCAGATGTCGGTCTTGCAACTCTCCTTGAAGTTGAAAAAGCTGTATAGAACCTGAAGCGAACCAAAGCAGCAAGACCTGACGGTTTGCCACCTCAGGTTTTCAAGGATAGCGGCAAGAAGTCGATAATTAAACTGGTGGAGGTACTACGTACTGCATAGGAATCAGAAGTTTTGCCGCCAGGCTGGTCTATTTCACTGATCATCCCAGTTTATAAGAAGGGGAAGAAATCTTCTTGTGACAATTATAGAGGAATTAGTTCGACTTATATCGTGTCGAAGATCCTAGGCTCTATAGTTATCCGACGCCTAACTGGATCTGGAGAAGAGCAAAGTCGAGAAAACCAGGCAGGTTTCAGGGAGACCTGGACAAGGGTGCACTGATGGCACATTCACCTTGTGATAAGTTCTTGAACACAGGCATACCTACTGACCAGTAGCTGACACTTGCCATATTTGTTGACCTGAAGGTGTCATTTGACTCAGTCGACCGTGATGTGTTGCGGTAGTGTCTGACTGTGAAGAGAGTGCCAAGAAAGTATGTAAGGCTAATCAACGCTCTTTACTCGAACGTAGACAGCTTTTTCAAGGTTTATGGAGAGTTGCCACGAAAACTGACGACAACTAGTGGTGTTCGTCAGATGTTTAACTTCTTTATGGGCGTACTAATGAACATGACCTTAGGTACATCTGACTTCACAGAGATTGATCTACTCCCTGGAGGCCATCTGGTCAACTTGGAGTACGCGGATGATATCGGCCTGCTGGATGAAGACGCTGACAAAATGCGGAGTCTTCTGGAAGTATTGAGCAAAAAGCTGGTGAAATATCCGACTATCTTTCAAAGGATTAGTATACGGCGCTGCAGTCCGTTCTGTCCTATTGTAAGCCTGTGGGACATGGCCGTTAAAAGTAAAAGTCATGAAGCGGTTACAGGTGTTTTGATCATATATATCTTCGTAGCACTGCTCCCCTTTGGTGGAATCACTGTGTGAGCAATGTTGAGGTCAGGTGAACGGAACTAGGCAAGTTGATTGATGAGGCTGTGAACCTTAGGCAACTGAGACGGTTTGGACATGTATTACGCATGCCGAACCACTGCCTACCTCAACCAGACATGCTAGGAGAAGTTTGATTACGTTGTAAGAGAGTTCAGGGTGGCCAGATCAAGACCTAGCACCAGTCGATGAAGTCTCTCACCGTTGGCGTGAGTCGCGTGGGGAGATGCAGACTGACAATTAGGGGTCGCCGAGACGATAGGAATAAGTGGTTGGGAATTTGGTTGACATGGCCGGAAATCGATCACAATGGCGCAGACGTATTTACATCTTCTAGAGCTTGAATATCCGCACTAACCTTTATGTAATACATAATTTATTCTCTCATACTTCTTTGATATCACTCTTTTTCTATCCACTTTTTCTTTGTGTACTACTGTGAAGTGTGGCGACTTGAGCCGATACACCCGTGTGCTAGGTTTTACGTTGATTTTGTCTGTCTGTCTGTTTATCAAAGGATGAATACATAGATAATCGAAGAATGCAGTTTTCATCGATGTTAAAGAAAACTTGTTACCGAAGATTATATATTTCTAAAAGGTTGCTGATAACAAAAATGGGAGCTGGTTAGATTTGGGATGCGAGGTTGTTGTGAAGAGATAAAAATTAAATGCATCTGTGATATTGCAGTCCGTAGTCAATCATATCATCTAGAGTCGCCAACCGCTTATTTTCACTGTTTTGGATACTTTTTTGATCTAGAATCCTCCAGTTCCTATAATGACTCAGAAGAGAAGTTAATAACTTCGTGGATTAATGCTATACCAGTAACTTCGCTCTTATTTATTCCTGACACGAATTTTGCTAGCCATCAGAACAAAAATGATAAAAATCACTCAAACTTATGAAATCAATTCACACCTATAACTTAAAACATTTAAAACTTACCTCAAGTTGCAACCGTAGAGAAAGCTTTTTCGTTCAGTATCACTTCGAGCTTTCCACCTTTCAATAAGCCTGAACAACCGTCTTGTAATTTAAACAACTGAAACCTACTCCCTGCGTGTATTCAACTCTATCTGAGTTTCTGCAGCCTTTCCAGCGCAGGCAAGTAGATCAGGAGTCTGAAAAAAATGAAAAAATCTATTTTTTGAGCGTTTAGGAGAATTCGAATTCAAAAGATGAACAGATGGAAAATTATCTTTCAACTTTACATCGTAAAGCGTATACACGATAAGGAACATTCATTACAGCAATGAATAACATGGAATAAATAATGTACGGTTGACTCAGCTTCTAACATTCCAGATATTAAATCAGATCTACTGCCATTTCAGGTTCCATTTTGTTGCAATTACTTATATCAACCTGGGAGATAAAGGATTATGGCTCATTGGTCTAAGTAAACATGCTCGAACTGGTGGGTTACAGGTTCGCATCTCTACTCACCCACCGAGGTTTTTGCAGCTAAACTGTACTCTCAGCTGAAAGACAATAAACTAGCGTAAATGAACCGTATGCGGTATCTCAGACTAAAAATTAAAAACAGGGTTGCGTAGTGTTATAGACTAGTAAACTAACCAACATTTATAAAAGTCAGACCACTCTACCTATACCTAGACAAGTTGCTGAAAACAGCCGTCAACACTAAGGTGAGCAGATGTTGTTCCTCTCAAGGACACTAAGATTTATGATTTTTTAAATAAAAAGTTTGCATTCTCTTACCTTGTTTAAGTCAACTTCAAAACATTTTACCTCTTGATCCCGGTTGGACAAACTACGAAGATTTATACGTCACTGGTTTTCCGCTTTCGAATCCGACTATGAATGCCTGTCGCAGGTATCGGGATACGCAAAGGGGATGGGAGCGAGCTAATTTTCAGAATAACCTCTTCCACCCCCCCCCCTTCCCATTGGAAAGACAGTGTCAACGTGGCACTACCGGTCATCCAAGGGGAGCGAGCACCTTACTGCTGTCACACCACATCCAGGTAGCAATAGTAAGACTTTGCTCTTGGGCCCCCATCATAGTGTAGCGATTCACACTACGGCAGTAAATATTTTTTGTCTAACCACTATTCAACAGACCTTTCTGGTATAGTAAGTCCTCAAACGAACAAGCGTTCCACCAGTATAGCTCGCTGGGTCATTCTGATATGCAAGCCCGACCATTACGTCAAGGTAGCAGCAATCAGTCAGGTCACAACTTTGTCTACTTTGATTCCAGTCTTTTTCTATCCTCTTGTTCTTTGTTTACTACTGTGAAGTGTGGCAACTTGACCCGATGCACCTGTGTGGTGAGAGGTTCTATGCAGATCTATCTGGCTATACACCATTTTACGTTGTGGATGTATTTAAATACTGATGAACGTTTTTTGAAGGACTGAGGCTACACGGCTGGCTATCTGAACGCATTTTCAAACCAGCTTCGCTTATTTTGGTTTCGGTAACCAAAAAGTACGCCTCACTCTGAAATGACAAATATGGCTTAAAACCTAACAAACAAACCTGAACGTAGTTACTGGGTTGTACTATTTAATCGTTTATTACTGTCACTCCAAAAACTACAGAAAAAAGTGACTCAATCAAAACTAACCTGTTCTCTCAACATAAGTGATATTATTTCAAGGGTGTGGAAAACAAACATTTGTTCATCTTCTGCATTTCCCAGAAACAACAGTAACTCATCCCAACCAGACAGATGCATTGCCCATAAAATTTGATCGTGTACAGAAACATCCTCATCAGTGCGCTGAAGTAAGCTTTTCGGAATGAGAAAAATCCAATTACCTGTTCGGAGACGACATCAGGAGAAATATGCAGTACATTGCGTACTAAAATCAAAACACGCTCAATAAGAAGGCGATCTTCTTCACTTCTCTCTTCCCAATTCTAAAAATATGCATGTAAAATTGAGGATGATTAGTTATGCACGCCAAGTAGATAAATTCGACTTAGTGGCATGAAAACCATTACCTAAGGACAAAAGAAATACGTCTATAGGTTTAGCTTACATATACTTAACCTCATAATGTTTATTGGTAGATATCAAACGAGCAGCTAGGGAAGTTGAAATAACGAAGAAGAATGCTGGTAAAAACCCAAACCATACGCTAAGAATTTGGTTTCAACAAACAAATTAACACTAAGGAAAAGTTAGTTATATTAAGATGGGAAAGATAGAGTCGATGACACTCTTAGAATGAGGGGGCTGCATAGTCAATGAAAAGAGTTATTTGCAAAACCATAATGCTCTTGAACTGTTTAACACGATCTCTACAAATTTAAAAGAACCAGATGACTTTCAGACTTCGCAAAAATATCTCCAATAGTAAATCTTTTTATATTCCAAAGTCACATGCAAAGTTGAACAAAGTTCCTAAGACGTTGGCATAGTAGTAAATCAACTTTTTATTATTATGTTTACTGCGAACACAAACTTAGTACAACATGGAGCACCAGGCATACAGACTATTCTAGCAACAATAAGCGGACACAAAACATGAAACAGCGGAAACAAAAATATAAGTGGGCTCTTTCTTAGAGAAAGAATCTCGAAAAGATACGTCGGAGCTATTAAGACGATCTAAGTGACAGGATATCAGCAAACTTACACAGACAAAGGAGGCCGGACATGCAATAATTGGACATCTTCAACCGGGGAAACAATGCTTCTAAGCGAAGAGCAAAACTGCTCGCACCAACGCCTTGTATATTCGACGTTTTACAACAAGGCTATCCCGACGACATCAAACTTGAAACAGATTGTCAAATGTCGCTCCAGTTTTTCATGTATGAATGGGAATCTCATGAATGACATTTCCATCAGCATTCACACAAACACCCACGTACATAAACCTTTTGACAACTTCCATTGACTCACCACCAAGGGTGAAAGCAGATACAGGTTGCTACTAATCGTGTAGAAGCACTTCGCACTTCGATGGCGCAAAGCACATGTCATACCTATGGGCATTGATTGTTAGTTGAATAAGCGTAATTTGAGTAGCCTATATGTTGTCTCACAGTAAAACGATGTCCTTTGAACGCTCATGGTTGGAAAGTCTTCCACCTGAAAGCAGGTTGGCGCCACTATCAGGTACCTCCATTATCGATGGTAAAATTAAAGATGAATGGCAAATCGAACAGCCCTACCTAACTCAAGAAAATGGAAACGCAGTCTACTTAACACAAGGTCAAGAAGAGTAGCAGATGTAGGTTCAGACCACTATCTAGTGCAAGGAACCTACCTTCTAAATCAAGTTAAAAGCCTTCAAGGAAGCTGGTGATAGATCTCAATTCAAGTACAACACTCGGAAACTGAAGGATGAAACTACAAAGGAGATCTTCAAGGCAGCCATCAAGACAAAATGGGAGACATCGAGCAACATCCCTGAAGAAACCTGTGTGGAAGAACACTGGAAGTCTTTGAAAGCTATGTGGAAAGAAACCTGCACAACAGTATTAGGAAGGAAGAAGAAAGAAGACAAGGAATGGATCTCGACGGATACCTGGAAGCTGATAGAGGAGAGGAGAATGGTGAAGCAGAAGATAAACCAGTGCAGTGCAACGATGCTCAACGACAAGAGGAACTGAGCACAATGTATAAAACACTGGATAAAGAAGTGAAGAAGAGTGCACGCAAAGACAAACGACACTTCTACGAAACACTGGCAAGTGAAGCAGAACAGGCTGCAGGTAAGAGAGACCTGACGACATTGTATCAAATAACCAGGTTGCTATCAGGGAAGAGACCAACACAGATGAAACCAATAAAAGATGATGAAGGAAATTTAATTACAAAAGAAGAGAAACAGAGGAAACAATGGGCCGACCACTTCAAGAAGCTCTTGAATCGACCACCACCACCACCACCTGCACTTCGTCCAGAAATACCACCTGCAGCCGCTGAATTACAAGTGAACATAAATCCCCCAACGAAAATGGAAGTCCTGAACGCCATAAAGCTACTGAAATGTGGGAAAGCAGCAGGACCAGATGGGATACCGCCAAAAGCACTGAAAACAGATGCAGAGACAACAGCGGCCATGCTCACACCACTATTGCAGAAGGTGTGGAAGGAAGAGAAGGTACCTGACGATTGGAAGAAGGGTTACCTTGTCAAACTGCCGAAGAAAGGAGACCTCAGTGTTTGCAAGAACTGGCGCGGAATCACTCTCTTGTCCACCCAGAGCAAGCAAAATATTAAGCCGCATCATCCTGGAGAGGCTTAAGGATGCACTGGATTCAAAACTGCGACCGGAACAGGCTGGCTGGATTCAGGAAGTACAAATCATGTGCAGACCAAATTGCAACGCTTCGCATCATCATAGAACAGAGCATAGAATGGCAATCAGCTCTCTGCCTCAACTTCATTGACTTTGAGAAGGCCTTTGACAGCGTCGACAGAGAACTAATTTGGAAACTGCTTCAATACTACGGAGTACCGCAAACCTTTATCCGCCTCATTCAACAACTATATGAAGATGCCACATGCCAGCCAAGTAATTCACAATGGGAAGCTCAGTGATGCTTTTGAAGTGAAGACAGGAGTGAAACAAGGTTGCCTACTATCCCCCATGATATTCCTTATTGTGGTGGACTGGATCATGCAGCAAACAGTGGGCAGCGAGAAGAGGGGGATACGCTGGACGACGGAAAAGAACCTAGAAGACTTGGATTTCGCCGATGACTTGTGCCTAATGTCACATAAACTTGAAGATCTACAGGCAAAAACTAACAAGTTGATAGAAGAGGCAGCGAAGACGGGACTTCAGGTGAATATAGAGAAGACAGAGGTGATGAAGATACCGCACCACCACCACCAACAACAACAACAAACTCCCATCACCGTCAACGGGAGAAACTTGAAGGAAGTAACCTCCTTCACTTATCTAGGAAGCACTGTTTCAACTACAGGCGGGACGGACGAGGACGTCAAAGTCAGAATCGGAAAAGCAAGACAGGCGTTCATTAGCCTGAAACCAGTGTGGAGATCTTCTGCACTCAGCATGCGGAACAAGATACGGATTTTCAACACCAACGTCAAGTCAGTGCTCTTGTATGGCTCAGAGACTTGGCGCGTCACGAAAGGCATTTTCAATAAACTACAGACATTCATCAACAACTGCTTACGCTCGCTACTTAAGATCAGATGGATTGCCAGAAAGAATAAGCAACAAGGAACTCTGGGAACGAACCAACCAAGAACCTATCACGCAACAAATATGCAGGAAGAAGTGGAGATGGATTGGCCATGCACTGAGAAGGCCGACTGAGGACATCACGCGCCAGGCCAGTTGCTCGAGTGGAATCCCCATGGGAAGCGACGAGTTGGACGTCCAAGGGTGACATGGAGGAGGTCGTGCGAGGAGGAAATGAGAGCTTCTGGGCTGTCGTGGGACCAGGTTCAAAAGATCTCAGAGAACAGAGGTCACTGGAGGCGTGCTACTGAAGCCCTATGTTCCACTAGGAACCCAAGGGACTAATGATAATAATAATAATAACTCAACTATTGGTTCGGAACAATAGAGAGGTATGACTACATTCTATCTGAAGTGTCTAAATATAGCACTTCCAGGGGCACTCCTGCTTAACGGACCATTCCGGCATATAGCCTTGTCCAAAGAATCGAAAGCACTCATAATATTGAGGAACATAAAAATTTTTGGTCAGCAGTACGTGTGATGGTGTTTGAAAATCTGACAGGGAGTGAGAACGTGGCCAGTGCATTTACAACCTGAACAAAATCCACCCTGCACCTCGCATATCACATTTTCACGCGTTGCACACAGACTGTGAAGATAGCAGTCAATATTTTAGATGCTACT